GTACGAGCCTCTACTGTCTTCTGCTGAAGAGAGAAAACACGGTCATTATTGGTGTATCTAGACCGATAGTTGCTCCAAATACAGCTATAATGAGTGTCATGTGTGAGCGTGTCATGTATGAGCCTCTACTGTCTTCTGTGAAAGAGTGAAGATACGGTCATTATCGCTGTATCTAGACTGATAGCTGCTCCAAATACAGCTATAGTGAGTGTCATGTATGAGCCTGTACTGTTTTTTTTTTCTGCTAAAGAGAGAAGAAAGCACTGGCATTCTTGGTGCATCTAGACTGATAGCTGCTCCAAATACATACAGCTATAACGAGTGTAAGTTGTACTCGGGAAGGGAGGCGGTATGTATAATACACGCATGTGTCTGCGGACTATGGGCCTCGCTCCACTACTCACCACATGCACAAAAGACAAAAAAAATTGTTAGTGCATCTTCCCATGTCCTAGCGGGATATTCATTCTCTATTAGCGCACTTGGTGAGTCGTGGATCGATGCGCTTTGTGTGGGGTTGTTGATGACAGTACAGTGAAACACAGCCCTTTGTCTGTAGGATATGTGGTATTGTTTTTCTTTGGGGGGGGGGGGGGGGGGGGGGGGGCGTGTGGAGGAAGCGCGATCAATTCAGCTGTTTCCAAAGCAGCCTTCATAACTCAGCTGTTAACAAGACCCTAATATATCAGCTTTTCCCCGTGCCCTCCATTTGTAAAGGGGAGCCTAGAAAGCCTGTATATCAGCTGTGCGGCGAACCCCTATATAATGGGAATGCATGAAGAATCGAAGATGCCATGAAAACATTAGTTGAGACTGTTCAGGTCGTTATTGCACGAACGCCTCTGTTCGAACTGCTGAGAACGATTCGCCTTGGGGTGGAAGTATGTGTTGTGGAGCCTTTTCTGACATAGATTTGCAGGAATGTGGTCAGGTTCAGGGCCCTTCCGTTAAGGACTGTTAAAGGAAGGATGGGGATGTCAAACTACCAGTACCCCGCGCAGCTGTTTTTTCAGAGTCACTGTGCATTTTGTGCAGGAATGTGGTCCGGTTCAGGGCCCTTCCGTTAAGGACTGTTAAAGGATGGGGATGTCTAACTACCAGCACCCCGCACAGCTGTTTTTTCTGAGTCGCTGCGCATATGCGGCGCAACTTTCGGGGCTCGGTGCCGACCGAAATGGCTGGCGGCGCTAGCCAAAAGCAGGCCCACATCGCTTTGTTTTTTTTTCGTCCCGCAGGGCAAATTTACGCTCCTCATCGAACTAGCTGGGGCTGGGTACTCGTGGTAAAAAAATAAACGGAACAACTTTTGCCTCAGGGTCATATCGAAATTCTTTACCAGTTTCAAAATAAAAATAAAATTTTATTTTTATTTATTTTAATCCTTTTTGGCCCGGCCGGTCAAGTGGTCCCGGGCCACTCTGGTAGCCTTTTTTTTTTTTTTTTTTTTTTTTTTTTTTTTTTTTTTTTTTTTTTTTTACTAGAATCGGATTTTGTATAAAAAATGCTTGAAACCAGTTCCAGCGCTGTCTCTTATACACATCTAGATGTGTATAAGAGANTTTTTTTTTTTTTTTTTTTTTTTTTTTTTTTTTTTTTTTTTTTTTTTTTTGTTGTTGTTGTTGTTGTTGGGGACTTTCGTTGGTCCTTGCATGGGCTAGCCACCCAATACCCGGGCGGCCCGGCGGGTAGCCTACCTCGCAATGCAATTTCATAACCTGTTCTTGTGGTGACATGCGGCTTCGCTTTGTTTTTGTTTTTTTTTTTAATGCAGGGTTATGCTCATGTTCTGTTTAAGAAAAAAAAAAGAAAAAAGAAGACACTGGGTTGTTCCCACTTTAATGGATGTCCCGAAGGACCACTTCTCCAGGATTTCTTCTGCACAGCCCAAGCCGACTAATGGCAATGGCAACTTTTTTTTTTTTTTTTTTTTTTTTTTTTTGGGGCAACTTTTTTTTTCCCCCAAATTGTTGAAATTTCATAAGGGACGCTGGGCCCGGTTTCCCAAATGTGCTTTGTTATTTTTCTTCCCCCCCCCCCGCCCCCCCCCGTCTCCGACAGGTAATGTAAGCTACATTCTTCTCCCAAATTCACCTGATTGCATCTGGATTTGAATGCCGGTCGTCTGTATTTCAACAGTCCATGGAGCGTGCCAACTGAGCTCGGCCAGGTGGGTGATATACATTCCGGTTGAAAATACTAAATAGTAAAAAAATAGTTAATGGCAAGTATGATGTGGTTAATCAGAACTTTAAAATTTTAGGTGTGATACTGGGCCTTGCCGCCCGGCACACGAAACGGTTAAAAAAGAAAACAACTGCATCTGGCCGCAGTAGGTGGCAAAATACGTTCTTTACCTAGGCTACAAGAGTGGCCAGGGACAGCTTGACCGGCCGGGCCAAAAAAAAAAAAAAAAAAAGTAGCAATTAAATTTTTATTTTAAATTTGGTAAAGAATTTCGATGTGACCCTGAGGCAAACGTTGTTCAGTTTATTTTTTCTGCATAACATAGTTTTTTTTACTTTTTGTCAGATTTTTTTTTTTTTTTTTTGTCTTTTTTTGGCTGGGGCCTTCCCTGGTCCTTGCACGGCTGGGCCGCCTGGGAAAAGGGTGACCCGGGCGGCACGGCTGGTGTAGTAAACGGACGGATCCTCTATTTTCTGTGGTGCGGTTTTTCGTTTCTTGTGCGGTGCTGCAAGGCCCACTTGTTGGGGATGAGGAGCCAATTGGTTATCTTTGAATTAGGGCGAGGTCCCACTGGCGACAAGGATTGGATTAAGCTCGCTCCTCCTGAATCTGGATGTGTTTTCTGCAGAGATGCAGGAAAGCATTTCGATCTCGACTTTCTGCACCTCTCCACAAACGCGAGTAGATTCAGGCATTCGGTCCTGCATCCTCTTTGCTCTTCCGACCTGACACTTGGCCTGGGCATTCATGAATAACTTCACTTAAAGTAGATTTGTTTTCGTAATTTGAGAATTCGACTTATTTTCCGTAATCCATCGTTATTACGTAATAACACAAAAACTCAAATAAAATACACATAACCAAAGGAATTGCGTGAAATATGTAAATTGATCTAATTGAGGCATTTTTTTTTTGTACTTTTTTGTTGTTTTTTTTTCGTTTTTTTTCGTGATTGTTCGCCAATTTCTTTGACTACGATATTCAAAATTTTTGGATTCATTTTTAAGATTGAGAACATTCTCAATTGACTAGAGTTTCCCCAACCTGAAATCAACGGAACCAAAGCACTGATGAGTCGGTGTACAGCAGAACCTTTGTGAGATTGTATTACAAAACGAGTTAAACCACCAGTACCTCGCTCAGCTATTGAATCCGAGCCTCCCAGCAATGCTGCGCGCCAAGTCCTGCCGAACCGCCGTCGCAATTTTCTTTTTCGTTTTGCCTGCGGCCTCCAGCCAATGCGGTCCGGCAGGCCGAAGCCCAAATGGCGCGGCGCGGATATGGGAAGCGCCGCGGCCGATAGCTGGGCCAGGTAGTGTAAAACCGCTTTTGGTGAATAGCTGTTGGGCATGATGTGGTGCGGGACACCGGACACGATTTCCAGCGGTGCGCCGATTTTGACTTCTTTTGTGGAGGATGTCGTTTGAACTACGACATTGTTCCGAACATGTCTAAAACAATACCGAAGCACCCACCGTTGGATCTGTTATCGTAGCGGGAATTCTCTTAAAATTGGGAACTCATGTTTTTTTAAGATTTTCAACACCAATGTTTCCAGAAGCTACTCTTTATTTCACTCCTTTTCGTGTCGAAGCCGGGTAATTGTTCCAGTTGAACCACTAGAACCTGGCCCACCTATCCGCAGCGGAGAAAAAATAGAGTCGCAACGTTTCTAGTCGGATGAATTTGGGCGCTCCTGTAGTGGCCCGTACGTACATTTCCTAAAATGGTGGCTTGCATACGGGCACGACTTTAGGAAGTACTGGTGGCCACTTGGCCCAGCTATTGATGCCGAGCCGGGATACCCCCTGCGTGCCAAGTTTTGCCGAGGCGTCGGGGCACCGTTTTGTTTTGATTTTGGCTGGCGCTTCCAGCCATTGTGGTTCGGTGCCCCGAAGCCTGCAACTACCGGCGCGTTAACGGGAATCGCCCGCAGCCGATAGCTGGGCCAAGTACTGGTGGTTTAAAGGACTCCTATGTTTCTCAGTGTGAAGCGAAGTTGCACGTCGACCGACGACCATTATCTGAAAAAACCGCCCCCGTGTGGCCGTCGATAATGTTCATGGGCGGCACCTGGCCTCCAATTTTGAATTTGGAGGCCCGCGGCCCCGGATATGAGAAAGGTAGTGGTGGTCGGTCAACACTCTTTGATAACCTGGTTTGAAGAACGTGAAAAGGCTCCAATGACTGGTCCCTCGTTCTCAAAAGATTTGCGACTCGCAAGGCGAAATTTTCAGATTTTTGGTTTTCCGTTCGTGTCTCAAATTCTTTCGTCTTTCACTGCCTACCTATCACTGCTCCTAAGGCTATACCGGGGACTCCTGCAAGCATACCTACCTACCTCTCTTGGCGAAAGGAGGTTACCTGTCTCGGTGGAGGGAGGTAGTTGCATGTTAGCACCCTGC